GGCATGTTCCGGGTGCCCGTCCTTGTCAAGCACTGTAAGAAAGGAAAAAGGAAAACGTACATCCCAAATACCCTGTACTTAGAAGAATGTTGTGAATCAAGTGTTAATTCCATTGAGCAGAGGAGAAACCAGAGCTCAGAAAGTCACATGGTGAGAAAGTGGGGCAGGAAAGAGGTTGGGTCTGCCTGGAACTCCACCCTTCCCTGCCCTGTAGACAGAAAGCCTATATCAAATGTCCCCAGACTCTCAGGTGCCCAAAAAGTCATGGAGCTGCTCTTCTAGTTGTTCAGGGAGAGGCAGAGGCAGCCCATCCATCCCCTTGGGCTCTCTGCAGGTGTTTTGGCAGAGAGAGGACTGGGGATTGTCCCCATCCCTATATGAGCACTCAGAGGTATCCACCACCCCTCCATGCCACCTGCTACTCCATGGCAATGTTCACCTAGTCTTCTCTGTGTCATGCTCCAGGAGAAAAATGGGCTCTCCCTTGACCTGTCAATGGCAACAAGCCTCTCCAACAGCACATAGCGGGAAAAAGCTGGGCTTTGAGTCAAGGTGTTCAGCATTCCTAGCCAAGCTCTGCCATTTTTCATCTTTCAGACCACGAGCAAACCCCAACATCCCCACAGGCTTAAAGCTTAATACTAGTCTTTCTCTTCCAGCATTGTTGAGAAGACTCGGTGAGTTTCAGGGTCTGAATACAGTGAACTTGATAAATAAAGGCTGCCTTTATCCCTCCTTCTGTGCCACATCCCCCTCCTTACCACATTCACCCCAAAGTTGGACAATGTTGAAGTAAAGTAAGAGTCAGGAGGCACATGGCCCCAGACCCTCAGACCTGCCGCAGACCTGCTTCTACCCAGGAAACTCATCTGTACACTAGGGCCATGCTAAATGGATAACAGAATGCTCCCAACTCTTCATCCCTTTGGGCATTGTGACTTTGCAGATTTCCCCTCAAGAGCAGTCTTCCGTCCAGAGGAGGAGACTCTTTCCACTGCCTATTGGGCTGATTTCATGGCTTGCTCTGGCCAAGAGACTGCAGCAGTAGTCACAATGCACCAGGTCTGAGCCCAGGCCTCAAGCGGCCCTGAGTACTCACACTTGTTCTCCTGGGATTCTGCTGCTGCCTCATGAATAAGCCTGGGCTAGTGTGCCTGTCCAGGGGCAGGCTCATCACCACAGCTTACAGCTAGCCAGAGCCATCCTCATCAGCCAGCCTTGATCTGTGAGCCAGCCCAGCTGAGATCTATTGAGTCTAACCCAGGTCTGCTGACCAGGAGGCTCATGCATAACAACACATGCTTACTGTTGGATGACACTGAGTTTTAGGATGGTTTGTTACACCACACCAGCTAGCTGATGCAGAGGACTTCTCTCCAAGGGGACTGGCAGCTCAAGCATAGATGGCAGGTGACCAAAGCCAAGCTCCTACCAGTGATACAGACAGGAGGCAGGGAAATATTGGGTAGAAGAAGGAAGTTCCCAGCAAAGGCCCCACCCTCAAGCCTGGAAACCCACAGCCCTAAATGGAAAGAGGCATTCCTGTTTTCACACACAAATGTTGCCTTTTGGCCTGCCATGGCTCCGTATCCTGTATCCATATAAACCCAAACCCCAGGCTCCATAAGCAGACAAGCAGAGGGACAGTAGAGTAACACAGCAGAGAAGGAGAGAACAGAAGGAGCATCTGAATGTCAAGAGGAGTTCAGTTGGAGATGGTCAGAGAGAAGATCAGCTGCAGGATGGCAGAACTCCAGGGAATATCATCTTCCCACTCCATCCCCTTTCCAACTCTCCATCCATCCTGCTGAGAGCCACCTCCATCCAGCAATAAAATCCCCTAAATTTACCATCCTTCAATTTGTCCCTGTGACCCAATTCTTCCTGATGCCAGGCAAGGACCTGGGTAGCAAGAGGGCACTGAGCTGGTTAACACTTAAGCCGTCTGCAGATGGCAGAGCTAAAAGAGCACTGTAACATGCCCACTGGGGCTTTGGGAGTCACAAACACCCAACCCTAGACACTACCATGAGGCCAGAGCCCAAAAGTGCTCATCCCAGCTCCTGAATCTGCCCATCTTTGTGCTTCCCCTCCTATAAGGGAGCCGATCAAAGGAGCCACTTCCCTATCACACATCCTGCGAGTGGGATCAGGGAACTCTCTTATTTCACCAGCACTAGGCATGGGCTCTGTTTGGGGATATCATGTGCAGAGGATGGCACCAGATGTGGACTACATGGCACAGATAGCTTCTCCAAGATAAATTCACAACAATTTAGATAATCTCTCTCATTTCTGCCTCTCATGACAACCCCCCACCCCACCCCACACCTTCCTACAGCTTCCCTGCTGAGCTCCCCAATCAGCTCTTCAGTCAACAAACAGGCTGACTCACCTCAACCTCGGGGTGAGGCCCCAGGCTGAACACCCTTGGGGATCCAGGAGCAAAAAAGGGTAATTGAGCCATTTCGGCTGCTGCAGGCTGTTTCCCTTTATAAATGCCTATTTTTCATGTCTGTTTCCTCCTTGGCCAAAGGGGCTACCTGCTAATAAGCCACAGAGACTCTGCAGGGAGGAGATGACATTCTGCTCTGCTATTTAATGACCCACAAAGGAAGGAAAGGCCACCAGGTGTCTTCAGGCCCACGCTTCAAGTTCACAGTCCTCTTTGACCCCAGAGAGGCCTCCCAGACAGTCCATGTAAGGTTTTCAGCACCCCTGGGCACCAGTAATGGGATGGCATGATTTGAGATGGAACTCAAAATAGAAACAACACCCAACCAGAAAATAAACACTGGAAAGTCCAGCGGCACTCAGGCCTTTTCCCCTGATGATTGCTTAGATGCTCCTTTGAAATATCAAAAATCAAACATTAAATTCTTACAATGTTTTACTCAGGCGCCCCTGGCTTGGCTGGAGTGTTAAGAATGTGTTTCATTTGCCCAGTGGGCAATCGAGACTGTAGACAATGTTTGTGTGGGAGTAGAAGTCGGTGCTCCTGGGGTCCCACCCTTCATCCATTTACCAGCCATAACACATGGCCCCTGAAAAGGTGATTAAGAAAGATGAACAGGCCCCAGTTCCTGCCCTTAGCATTCCCAGGTCACAGAGGGAGGGAGATGGTCATAGCACAAGTGATGGGTGCACGGCTGGCTCTGGGATGAGGTGGCGATGGAGGTGTGTTCAGGAGGCAGCAGCCTCTGAGGGATGTGATGCTGCTGTCAGAGAGGGAACAGTGCTGGTTGCACCTGGACAGAGCTCACAGTGGCTTCCCCAGCACTCAGGGACTTTGGAAACATGAGCAGGAGGGTGGGGACAGAGGAGGAAAGGAACAGAGCCATGCCAAATCTCAACATAGATCCTAAAAGGATAGCTCTCTGTTCCCTTCCCGCCCCAAGTTCTGGCTGCCTCTTGCAGTCGCTGAGTTCCAAGCCAACCAGAAAAAAATCTAGGAAACATTTCTTTCTTGTGATCTTATTTCTAAGAATTTCTAAGAAAATAGGAATTTCTCAGATTGGAAGCACTTTTGCTAAAGTGCTAAGGCTTCAAAATCCGTAAACAGAGGGATATAATTAAATGCAAATGCAGGGCCATATTTAAAAATTAATCTCCTATAATTAATTAGTAATTTAAAATATTCTAGTAAATGATACTTAAATGGCACAGAATTATTCCAGCTCTGAGTGATAAAGTCGTCTGCTAAAAATTTACTGTGTTAGAGTGAGAAATATTTGCATATATCATGTGGGACAACAGAACACTGAGATTATTTAATTTACCTTTGCTGTAAAAGTATTTAAAAGCACAGTCTTTATATTCAAATTGTGGGAGCTTCATTCACTGCAGCAAACTCTGAGAAGCAACTGATTTGAAGACAGGACTAAACCCAGGCTGGGCTACTATGAAGGATTAAATTGACCTCCAGGCACACGCCATGCCTGGGAGGCCAAACTGGAAGAGGTGTTGGGTGGCCCCTTCCACCTTTTTCCTTCACCTACTCCATCCAGCCTGGATGAAAAGTGACATCTTTTACCAGAGCAATGGGACACTGTCCAACCAATCAGCTATTCTCTCTGCTGTTCTTTTTCCTGTTCTCTCTCTGAGAAAGAGATCACTGCAGAGGTCAATGTCATCTGCTGCAACTGTCACTGGGTAGCTGCCATTTTTTTTCCAAAGACAGAATGCCTCCCCCAGACTACTCTGCCACCAGCAACGCTGTCCTCCTGGTGGATGTGTGCGTGCATATTGATGTGTGGGTCTGCACAGGTGCATGTTTGTGTGTGTGTCAGTGCCTGTTGGACTGTGCCAGTCTGAGGGTCTAGTTGTACCAGTGTATGTGGCTGCTGATTGTATCATGGCATCAGGCTGTGTCCATGTGTGCAAGTTTGTGTGTGTGCACAAATCCATGCCTGGTCTCCCACATCTCCCTCCACTGCTGCTTACCACCACCACCACCACCACCCCCAACACACACTCATCTCTCTCTGCATCCTATATTCCAATGCCATGTGCCACCGCCGGGCTCAGGAATGTCCCACCTGCAGAAGCAGCCCTGGCCTGATTTGCTGACCCATGCAGGCCTAAGGCAGCATTCTTAGGCAAACATAAGCCTTCCCACTAGCCGAAGTTTTCAGACCAAAGCCCTTGCTGATGTGCTGGCCTAGGAGTTGCTGACCAGCCAAGCAGGCAACCAAAGTACACACACAAAAACACAGCTTACCCCATCCCTATGTGAAGTAAGAAATATAAAACGCCCATTCATTTATTCCCTCAATACTACTACAGACCAGGTCCCATGCTGCTCTCCGGAAATAAAATGGGGAACATCACACAGTCCCTGGCCTGCAGGCAGCACATTCTAGTTAGAAGGACAGACTGTCCAACATTTGCAGGACAGACAGAAATGGATGGTGCCTGGGCATCAGGGCTGGGCAGGCTGCCCCTGTCTCCTTGTGAACTAGAAGCAAGGAGCAGCAACTCTTCTCCATAAAGTATACAAATTGTTTAAAACAGTTTAATTTTTCCACTCTTTCCAGTGATACAAAAGGCTAGAAGGGAAAGGAGGAAATACAGAGGAAACAAAAGGAGGAAAGAGACTGGCACAGAACCAATAAATGAGAGGTGAAAGGACAAAGCCCTGGAGTCCCCAAAATGCCCACAGACACTGAGACAGGCCTCAGTGGACAACAGCCCTGGGGCACAGCTGCTCTGCCAGCCACTGTGGCATGGTGTGTAGCATGGCTTTCCATATCACAGCCAGTCCCAGAGAGGAGGAGGCACTGCCCCTGAATTCCATGTCCCCAGCATTTGAGAGGGTTCCTCATCCATAGGAGGCCCCCAATTGGTACTTGCTGGGTGAGTAGATAATTAGATGGATGGATGAGTAGATGGACAGATGAACGGAGGAATGGACAGAGAGATGGACGACAGATGAACAGATGAACAGAATCCCTCCAGGAAGTTGAAATGAAGCCCAGAGCCAAATGACTATGGACTGGAGTTCTCCCCATCAAGCCTGACCTGGAGAAGAACAAGAACAATAAGACATGTAAACTGTAGGGTTTTAACTTCTAATGCCCTGAAAAACACCCAAAGAATACACTAGTTCTGAAGTCTGGATTGTCTGCACCAGACAAGGGAGCCCTCTCTGCTGACGTCTAGCCTCAGCTCCCCTGCACACCCATGACTGCAACTGCAAAGCATACAAGTTCCTGAATACATTAGGGATCTCCTGACCCCTCTCCCCAGCCCTTCCCTGTCCGCAGGCTTAGTACAAGTTCATTCCTAACAGACCCAGCCCTAGAGTCACCTAGTCCAGGAAGCTTTTCTGACCCTCTGACGACCCCATCTCTCTTTGGGCAGAGAGCATTGCTCTGTCCTCCGGGCTCTTAGATGGCCTGGCCTACCTCTGCCATTTCAGGTAAAAGGGTCTGTTCACACCTCAGTCCTCCCCACCAAGCTGGGAGCCCTGTGAGAGCAGGAACAACAGCCTCCATGCCCACACAGAACTTGTCATTGGCTGAGGTTCAGTATGCTGAACCTCTTCTGCTCATGGCTCTTCCTGTCACTTCTCCAAATGCTGGAGAAGTGAAGGAAGAGCCATGAGCAGAAGAGAGAAAGCTCCAGCAGCCAGCAGCAGGATTCCCAGAGAAAGGCGCCTCTTAGCAGCTGCTGCCTTGGTCACTTCAGCAATTCCATGGGTCATGATCCCCAGCTGGTGAGGCAGCTAACAGGCTTGCATGAGGGACATCAGAGTTCACTGTCATTGTGCACTGAAGCCTCACTTAGCAGCCAGTGGCCCAGAGAAGAGCCAAGGCCCAGCTGAGGACATAATGAGTCCAATCCATTCCCTGTTACGGTACTACTGTAAAGCATCACACACACTCACATAGAGGGCTCCAAGGCCAAGCCCAGGGCAGAACAGGCCCCCCCGGAGGAAGGGACCCTCCATGGCCTGTACCCTTGGCAGCCCCTAGAGTAGCCTCAAGGTGGCACCAGGCCCGGGACCCAGACACCTGAGTCCTGTCACCCTCAGGCCCATCCTCCCCAAGGCGAACCTCTCCACACCTTTTTAAGATGATGCAATGGTGTGGTGGCTATAAAGATGGTGATGAGGAGACCTCAGAGGATGGAAGTAGAATAAAGACTGGGCGAGGGATGTGAGGGGTCTCTAGGTGGGGCCTGACACACAAGCCCACAGTGTCCCCAGGCAGGCCTCAGCACCTTGGCCTGCCACAACTCCTCCGCTCACCCACTCACTGCCAAGGCCAACTCGCAGAACCTGCAGGCCCCACCAGCACAGCCCCTCGTGAAGTGGAATCCCAGAGATGCTAGTGGTGCCATGTGCCCCCAGGCCAAGAGCCACCTGCAGTGAATGATTGACATTTTGCAAAATGTAAAAGACTCAAGCAGCTCTGACTTCCTCACTCACTCCCATTTGATGAGGCTGTTTGAGTAGAAAAGGCGAGAACTTACAACTCGGAAATCCACATGGCGCACGCCAACTGTAGCTCATCTATACCACCCAGGGTGGAGCATAATGTTGACATGAATGGATGTGTAGGGGGTGCTGAGGGGGCATTTACTCCTCCTTAGCTGTGTCTTGGGCTTCATAAAATTCAGGACATGTTCTGGCAGTGTGTCACCCTTGTGAATATCATTTGTCCTTGTAACAACAAAGAGGAGGTTGGGTCGGTCTGCTCAAAAAGCCCAAGCAATGCCTCCAGGCGGTGAGGAAGGCTTTGTGCAGGGACAGCATTCCCAGGTGTTCCTAGGGGACCTGCTGGGCTAGCTGGTCCCCTAGGAACACATGTTTACTCCAGAATCCACATTTCTTCCCCAGCACACTTAGGAGATACATTAAAATGCTTTGCGCATAAGCACCCTAAGAACCTCTGCCAAACCCTGGCCAGAGACAGTGGAACCAAAGCTCTCCCCGTGAAGTCAGCACGGCCCTATTTCCCCACTCCAGCAAGTGCAGTGCTGTACACTGTGTTCCTGGAATCATCGCAGATAGAAAAGAGGGGCTCTGGAGGGAGTAAAATCTGGACTCAAATCCTGTTCAATGCCCTAGTGGCTATTTGTATGATCTTAAGTAAGTCATTTAACATCTTTAGCTTTTCAGTTTCCTCTGTCTGCAAAGTGTGAGGATTAGCAAATGCACAAAAGGCCAGAGTCATCGTGGGCACCCGGGAAACCTCAGCTTCCTCCCTCCCAATAGCAGGCACATGGGAACAGAGAACAAGACTCTTATCAGCAGAGATCGAAGACTATGGTGGGAGCTGTTGGCCAAAGTCCAAATGCCATCCTTCCCCTCAATCCCCTGCCAACATTCCCAGGGGCTTGTGGGACAAAAGACCCTGTAGCATGCTAGAGGGTGGAGGGTTTAGAAACGACCTATAGGATACTATGCTTACCACCTGGGTAAGGGGACCCATATTCCAAACCTCAGCATCACACAAGATTCCCATGTGACAAATCTGCACATGTAGACCCTGTATCTAAAATAAAAGTTGAAATTTAAAAAAAATAATAATAACCTGAAAAAAAAAAAAAAATCCAGTGGCCACTCCAGAGGCATCCCCAGCCCCACCATACTCAGTAATACAAGCAGGACAAAGCAAGCCCAGCATATCCACCACTGCAGGTGTCTGCATAATTAACCACTTGGAAATAACACTCTTAGGCCAGTCTTAGTTATGTGTTAAATCCTCACCGGGCTAGAAACAGGAAGGGGCTAAAATCCTCTAAAAGGGAAACGCATGAATATGTGCAGTGAAGAAAAAACAGATGCTTCTTGAGAAGCTATATGGTAAATGCTTTATCACAGCTGTCGCCTTCATCCCTTTTAACAGATAAAGAAATGGAGGCTAAGACAGTGATGCAAACGGCCCAAGGTCACACAAATAATAAGTCAGGGAGCTGGGACTTGCCCCCAAATCCATTCAACTCCAAAACCAATAGTCTTTCCACTCCCAAGCTTCACAGCAGAGCGAGGAGGAAAGGAAGCAAGGGGAGGGGGCAAGGAATTGGCAAGAAGCAGGAAGGGAGGGGGCCAGTGATGAGATTAGCAGACACCATTGCCAGTACAGACTCCAGCTGGGAAAGCCTGCAAGAAGAGCCGTCCCCTGAACAGGCTTCTGCAAACGCACCGCTGGGTACATTCTGAGAAAGAACGGACATGTTAGTGCTGCTAATCCCAGGCTGCCTATTACTGGGCTGAATCACTTCACGCAGGGCAACATGTTCCGGTGAAAATGCCGGGAGCCAATGGGACATCACGGCCTGGCTGACCACTGGCATGATTCGGGGCCTGATGAGCAGAGAGCATCAGGGCTGCCGGCCAATGGTACCACATTAAGCATTCCAAATTTTAAGTTCCCCAGCAGTGGGCTTTGGGCTGGCTCCTGATACATGAGGTAGCATTCTGAGTAATAATTAATTAGAGGGAAAAGCAGCATAAGCAAAGTACCTCAAATGGCATTAGTATCATGCCGTATTTCTCTCCATTTTACTTTCAATCAGCGAGGGCCAACACAGCGACTGGGGTGGTCTGGAGAATCTGCAGAGAGCCCTTGGTCACACCCCATGACCCATTCAATCTGCGACTGCTCCAAGGCACACCACATCCCCAGCTCACCCACCAAAACCAACCCAGGCCAGGGGGAGACCTGCCAACTCCAGCCCATCACCTCTCTGCCATTAGACTACCCTGGCCGGCGCCAATCAGCCCACTCATAGGTTGTTTCTTGTTTGTTCTCAAATTAATGGATTCCCCACAAATGAATGGATTCTTCACTAACTAATGGCTTCTTAAACTGGTGGGCCCTGTCTTCATTAGAAGGCCGCAACCTCTAATAGAGATGTTTTTAAAAGAAACATATTGATCAGCCCAAGCACCAAAAAAAATCAGCACATCTAATGTATCCTTCAGCAACAGGCAAAGCCACCTCCTCCAGGTGCTAAGAAATCTCAAGGCAGACCTACGCATCTCTGCAGAAAGCTCAAAATTTATTTTATCCCTAGAGGCTTACACCTGTCAACAAAGAGAGGAAAATTAAAAAGAAAAAAAAAAAAAAAAAAAGGCCTGAATTTAGCTTAGAAATCTCTGTCAGTGACTTGTAAACAGGCTTCCCACCAGCCTCCTCACAGCTTCTCAGAGTCTGAGCAGACCTTGAGTCACCTGTCAGGGAATATCCAGGAGCCAGGCAATGCTCAGAGAATCCCCTCTTAAAGGCTGTGTGCTGCGGGCCGCGTACCTACGGGTCTCCACGTCCGTTTTGCCCATGCGTAAGAGGACCGCGCCCTGCAGCCCACCTGAGCCATCTTCCGCAGAGCCCTGGGCACCAGGTCCCTGAGGCCTTAGGCTCCCATGACCTACCTCATTGATGAAGGAGTGGGCTCCCTGTGGGCTGAGCAGCAGGATGGCGCGGCGCAGCGTGTCCCGGTAGCGATTCAGCTCCTCCGTCTTCATCGTGGTGAAGAGGCTGGTGAATATGTGGCTAATGTTCTTGTCCACCTTTTGTAAAGAGACATCAAGGCCCAGCCGCGAGGCCTGGTCCAGAAAGCTTTGAAGCCCACGGATATCTGAGCAGAGGGAGAAGAGGAAGAGAAGAAAATCATCTTTTGTGGGAATGCACTGTAGAGGGTGTCTAATGCCAACATGTCCCACCCCTGCAAGCCACCAGGAAAAACGAGTGTCCAAGTCTGCTTCAGTGACCCCCTAAACAGGGGTTTGAGGACAACAATGTGGACCTAGCAGTGCTCACCAGTGTGCAGCCCCGGCCAACCATCTCTTCCCACAGGTTAGATGCCATCCAACAGGTCCTTTGGCCAGAAAGTGCCCTTGATTCACAACAAGCTCCCTATATGGGCCTAGTCATGGCAATTCTGGTCTTCAGGTCACATGTGCTGGTGGTCCCTGGCCCTGGCATCCCCAGTCCCCTCCACCTCCCTCTGCTCCCCACATGAGGGTCCTTGAACAACCATGGCCAGCTGAGGCCCCTGACTGGACCCTCACTCCCTGCACCAATCCTGTGATTGTGCAGCCTGCACCACGGCACCCCAGCCCTGAGGCGTGGGACCCCATCTGGCCTCAGGGACCTGATGAAACATTCCTCCTGCCTCTTTCCAGCTGGAGTGACTCTCACTCCAAGTCCAATCAGAAGTCCACATCCTGACGGAATCAGGGATGAGCAGGGGATTGGAGGAAGTACAAAGAGAGTCCATCCTGGCACGTGGTGATCACTGGGAGAGAGGCCTGGTGGGACAAACTACCCAGGGATGGAAGATTCAACAAGAAGGGACCTGGAACCCAATATAATCGCACTGCACATTGCTACAAATCTCTCCTTGTGAGGGCTGAGGGTGCTACATTTTTTTTTAACCCGCCCCAAAATCATCTCTTAGCAGCAGCCTTGTACAAGCCATTTGGCTTTCCCAACAAGAGGCATGTCCAGGAACAGAGGCAGGCAGGTCTGAGAGTGAGACACAGTCCTGACGACGTCATTTCAGCCCCTGGGTCCATGTGAGGCTGAAGCCTGTTTCTCCCAAATTTTCCAGTTCCATGAGCCAGTGAATGCCTTCGCTTGCCTAAGGTGGGTCACATGCAGCCCAGACTCTCAATCCACAGGCCGCTTTTTCAAAGCCAGGGATGTTTCTTGCATCTGGCCCATCCTTGCATTTCACCTCCCATAAACAAGACCCGCGCCTGAGTTGCACCCTCCAAAGGACACTCTAGGTCTGCCCAGATCCACAAGCTGCACTGTCCCCATGCCCTGGGAGGCCCACGGGCACGGCACGGCCCATGCAGTGACCAAGATCAAAATCCAAATAAACAGTGTTAGTTCAACTAGATTTTGTTCCTAACCAATTCCTCTCCAAAACTCTCTCTGTGCTCATTTCGCACACTTTCTGATCTATACTCATGCCAAGTGCCATGCAAGCTGCTAAAGGAGCCCCAGGTTGCCCACTGTGCCGAGAGGACAGGCTCACCACTAAGCACAGTACCAGCTGGACTGTGTGACAGGAGCCATCACAGGGAGCCAAACAGTGCAAGGGAGGAGACCAGAGCACCATGGCTGTGGTGATGAGGGTGCTGGGGGCTGTACACAGGGCCCCCTTCCCACCACAGGGGAAAAGCCCTGGACTAGGACCTAAGCACCTGCCAGGAACTCTAACATTTAGGGCTCAGTACAGTCCCTGAAGCCCTCAGGCAAATCACCATCCCCTTTGAGCTTGAGGGGCCCTCTGTAAAACGGGATGAAAATCACCAACTACCATTTTGGGACTCTGAGGAGCCACACTTCCCGTGCAGGCCACCTGCTTCTGTCTCAGGAGCCTGTACCTGGGAGTCCAGGGAGCCCACCTCCTGGTGGTGCATGGGGAGGGCACAGCAGCGTCTAAATGAGAATGCTGGGAGCCCTCTAGAGATGGCAAATGCATGACCGTCCAGCCATGGCCTCAGCTGCCCCTTGTCCATCAGCAACCTGGTCCCTGGAGCACAGCCATGTGCACAAACCCGCTGGCTTTGCAAAGCACAGGGGTCTCAGTGTTGCTCTGCCCACTGTGTCAGACAGGAAGGAGAGCCAGACCCAGGGCTGGGATGAGGTGGCCAGCACAGGGCTCCCCCAAAGTGAGGAGAGGTAGCCGACTGAGGACGACACAGTGCCTTATACTTGCCTAAGGGCTCCAGGCCTCCAACACACAAGCCCCAGGCTGTCGACACCCTGGGGGTTCCCAGAGAAGCAATTCATTCTCCATTAGCTTGGTCAGGGTCCTGAGGATCTGTAGCTCCAAAGCTTCTTGAAAGAAAAGGTGAGGAAGATAAAGACCTCTTCTTAACCCGTCAGAGGGAGGGACAGGGCAAGTGTGCAGAGATGGTTCAGGAGCCACAACCAACACCACCAGTGCTGATGTCAGCCCTAGGCCTGCCCTCTCTGGAGCACAGCACAGTGCAAATCTGCCCATCATAAGCTGGAGGACATCTCAGCACCCAGCAGCCACCCACACCAAAACCAGCAGTGGGCTGCTATGCTGGAGACATAACAGCTTTCCATGGGTGCCATTGAGGGTTTTCCCCCTGGATCTGGGCTGTACACATCACAATCTCCAGCCATCTATGGCTATTAAAACTTCAATTAATTGAAGAGAAACACAATTACATACTCAGCTCCTCAGGTTCACTAGCCACATTTCAAGTTCTCAACAGCCACATCTGGCTGGTGACTACCATGTTGGACAGCACAGATATAGATCATATGAGATGGATCATCACAGAAAGTCCTATTGCCTGGTACTGCCTGGAGAAACCGGCTTTAACCAGTGTGGTGCAAATGATATTTCTAAATATGGGGGACTAGCTGCCTTCAGGCCCCTGGCAAAGGCTCCCAATCCCAGGTTTTTTCTTCTCTCACTGTGAGGACTCAAGCTCCACCCGTGGCCAAGTGACCTGCATGGACTGTGGGGCAGTAGTAAACTTGATGCAAACAGAGGTTTGAATAAGTGTTTGCGCATTTCCATTTCTACTCTTGGACCACACCACCACAAGAACAACCCCACGCCAGCTGCTGGAGGAATGTGAGACACACAGAGGAGAATCAGGCAGGTTCCCAGGCAGCCATCCCCAGCCGCAAGCCAGCCGAACTCAGACGCATGAGTGAGCCCGCAGCAGAACTGCCGGGTTGACCTATAGACTCATAAAAAATAATAAATGACTGCTGTTCTAAGCCACTAAGTTTTGGGACGGTTTGTTTCCCAGCAATAACAAACTGATAGACCAAGGTCATTGGATGTATTGTATCTGGTATAGCTTATGAAAATGTTAAGTGAAAGAGCAACACTTTTACCTTAAAAAGTCACCCTGTCATGGCTTGGCTGAGGCACTGTCTGCACAGGGCTGAGTGCTAGGCAGCCCCAGGGCAAGGCCACGTGTCTACAGGCAGCTTCTGCAGCCCTGTCCCCTCCTTAGGAAACCAGTGGTTCTCCCTGCCCATGGCCTTGGCTGTGACCCAGATCCGAGCACAGCTATAGGACGGGCATGAAGGTAGGACCCTGAGACCTGTCATCTACAAGCTTCTGCTCCTTCTAGAACCTTCTAAGGCCAATATAAGTCTTTAAAATGGCAGAGACTGGCCATGTCCACAGAGCATACCTTGCTGCACGTGCACCATGAGGACTGGCATGAGTCCATGGGTCTGGTAGGGCCACCCATGTGGCCCCAGGGACCTTATGCCTCATGACAGCATGGTCAGTCCTCTCAGACTGGGGGAAAAGTCACCTTCAGTCCCTTCCCTGAGTTCCCTCTAACTAAAACCTTTCTTCAGGGAATAGGAGATGCCATGGGCAGGTGGCAAGTGCCTTAGGAGTCACAAGTACACACGAACATGCACACATGGAGGACACAAGCCCTCAGAGCGCCTCTGCACCTTCCACTGCTACATTGCTGGCTTCTGTTCCCATAGCCCCTGATGGGACTGAACCATCAGAGAGAGTTGAAGCTCCCTGTCAGCGGCTGGCTCCTCACACCTGAAATCAGTGATGCCGTCTGAAGGCAGTGTTCCCGAGGGATCACAGTTCTTGGCTACCACCGCCTGCTCCCAGTTGGCTGAAAAGGTTAACTCTCAGCCTCCTCTTCCTGAAGATCCTGTCCAGATGTGCTTGTGGTGGGGGCTGGAGGCAGAGCAATGGAGGGAAGCACAAGCTGCAGCCCTCCTGCCACTCCCCAGGAATGGGGCCCACTTCTCCCACAAAGTCCTTTTCTCCCTGCAAGAAACTTACCTTGTAATGCCACCCTACCCAATCTACCCAGCCCAGCTCCCCAAAAACAAACAACTGTCTGCTGCTGCTGCACAGGAAGAGACAATTCCCCAAGAAGGTAGACAATGAACAGAGCTAGAGCTTCCCACACTGGGCCCCTCTGGAATCCCTTGGCTCCCACATAGCTCTGGACTTTGTCCCAGGGCCTCCAAGCAAGCTCCCTGTACATACTTGCCAGCCCCACCCACCATCACCAATGCAGCTTCCACCAACCACACGCACCTCCACCCACTCCTCGGGAAGATTGCTGACTGAGGTCTTGTCAGCCTTGCATCAACCCAGTCCAGAACAGGCATGAGAAGGGCAAGGGCCACCAGGTCTCCAGGCACCCAGGAGAGGCATGGACTCTGGAAAACGGCACTGGCCACTGCAGGGACAGGGAGGGGCTCCCGAGAGAGGAGTCCTGCACCTTAGAGAAAGGAGGCAGCTCAGGGAGCGTGAGCCAGTCCACTCCCATGAGAAATGCAAGGTGACAGTGCCTGGATCAGGCATCAAGTTCACCTCTCTGCCTCCCAGCCTCGCTGCACACTCTTTGAGCTCTCAGGGGCCCCATCACC